GTTCTCTATTGGTATTTAAAAAAAAACAGTAGAAGAATATTTCATTTCTATATGTGATTCATGACTTCTTTAAGGTAGAGTAACTTTAGGCTTACAATCAGCCTTCTGTATCCATGTTTCATATCCATGCAATCAACTAGCCACAGGTTGAAAGTATTCTAAAAAATTCATGAAGTTTAAAAAAAAAAAATTTGGATTGTCAAACAGGCAACTATCTACATTGCTTTTGTACGGGTCTTCCTTGGTGACTCAAATGGAAGAAAATCTGCCTGCAACGCCGGAGACCCAGGTTCAATCCCTGGGTCAGGAAGATCCTCTGGAGAAGGGAATGGTAACCACTTCAGTAATCTTGCCTGAGAAAACCTATGGACAGAAGAGCCTGGAGGGCTATAGTCCATGGGATTGCAAAGAGTCAGACATGGCTGAGCACCAAATGAATGAGTGACATATCATTTACCTTGATTTAGGTAGTTGTTGTTCAGTCACTCAGTCATGTCTCATTCTTTGTGACCCCATGGACTGCACACACCAGACTTCCCTGTCCTTTACCATCTCCCGGAGCTTGCTCAAACTCAAGTCCATTGAGTCGGTGATGCTATCCAACCATCTCATCCTCTGTTGTTTTCTTCTCCTCCTGTCTTCTATCTTTCCCAGCATCAGGGTCTTTTCCAGTCTCTTCGCATCAGGTGGCCAAAGTATTGGAGCTTCAGCTTCAGCATCAATCCTTCCAAAGAATATTCAGGATTGATTCCCTTTAAGATAGACTCATTTGTTCTCCTTGCAGTCCAAAGGACGCTCAAGAGTCTTCTCCAACACCACAGTTTAAAAGCATCAACTCTTCAGCAATCAGTCTTTATGGTCCAACTCTCACATCCATACGTGAGGGCTTTCCTGATAGCTCAGTCGGTAAAGAATCTTCCTGCAATGCAGGAGACCCCAGTTCAATCCCTGGGTTCAGAAGATCTGCTGAAGAAGGGATAGGCTACGCATTCCAGAATTATTGGGCTTCCCTTGTGGTTCCAGTTTGATCCCTGGGTTGGGAAGATCTGCTGAAGAAGGGATAGGCTATCCTCTCCAGAATTCTTGGGCTTCCCTTGTGGCTCAGCTGGTAAAGAATCCACCCACAATGTGGGAGACCTGGGTTCGATCCCTGGGTTGAGAGGATCCCCTGAAGAAGGGAAAGGCTACCCGCTTCAGTATTCTGGCCTGGAAAATTTCATGGACTACAGTCCATGGGGTCGCAAAAAGTCAGACATGACTGAGCGACTTTCACATACTAGAAAAACCATAGCTTTGATTATATGGACCTTTGTCAGCAGAGTAATGTCTCTGTGTTTTAATACTTTGTCTAGGTTTGTCATAGCTTTTCTTCCAAGGAACAAGCATCTTATAATTTCACGACTGCAGTCACCATCTGCAGTGATTTTGGAGCCCAAGAAAATAGTCTTTCACTATTTCCCCACCTATATGCCATGAAGTGGGCTTCCCTGGTGGCTCAGCTGATAAAGAATTCCCCTCCAATGTAGGAGACCTGGGTTCAGTCCCTGGGTTGGGAAGATCCCCTGGAGAAGGGAAAGGCTACCCACTCCAGTATTCTGGCCTGGAGAATTCCATGGGCTGTAGAGTCCATGGGGTTGCAAACAGTCAGACTGAGTGACTTTCATTTCATTTTTTCATGCCATGAGGTGATGGGACCAGATGCCATGATCTTAGTTTTTTGAATGTTGAATTTTAAGCCAGATTTTTCACTCTCCTCTTTTCCCCCCCCCACTTTTTTTTTTCACTCTCCTCTTTCACCTACATCAAGAGGTACTTCTAATACCTTGATGAAGGTATGAATACCCCTTCATCAAGAAGATGAAGAGGTATTAGAAGTACCTCTTGATGATTTAGGTATTATAAGTAATCTAGTGATTATTTAAAATATATGGGAGGAGGTACTGTAGCAAATACTACAACATTTTACGTAAGGAACTTGAGCATCATAAATCTTTGTATCTGTGGGGCCTCCTGGATTCAATCCCCCAAGGAGACCAAGAGAGCCCTGTACCTGAACTTCTCTCCCCCTACTCCTGCATGAAGGAATCTAAAAACATGCACAATCTGGAAGCTTGCAATTCTCACTGCAACCTTAGAATAACTGGCACCATCTGAGAAGGACTGAAAGTAAAAAACCACCATTCTACTCAATGTGCATGTCCTCTTACCATAATGTGTTTCTCATTAAACAAACAGTGAGTAGAGAATCACCTACTAGAACAAGTGCATAAGAAAATCTACTATAAAGAACAAGGTGAGGCTGAGTAGCTAATTAATATAGCTAAAGATTTGATAGTTAATCTTTGATACATTTCATAGATATCTATTAGTAATAGGAGCTTATTTGCAGATTATTTTACTTTTAATTATTGCATGAATTTACAAATGGAAAGTGTAAAACAAGCTTCTGCATCTTTATATCTCATACACAACCTAGTAAGATGTCTTTTTTACTGGTAACCATTCAATAAATATTCATATATTAAATTGAATACCCAATGTGAATAGTACATATTTTCACTTAAGAGCAGAAAAATACCCATGAAATTGTTTGAGATTTCGTTTTGCTCCATTTTTGTTCCCAGGCACAAATCCGAAAGGAATTAGGATTACAATTACTTCCTGTAATGCTTAGAACAAGTTCAGAATTCTCTCTGCAATTCATATGCTGTGTTTTACCTTAAGCTGTGCTGAGCTAGGTTGCTTCAGTTAAGCCGACTCTTCGAGACCTAGGGACTGTATCCCGCCAGGCTCCTCTGCCCATGGGATTCTCTAGGCAAGAATACTGAAGTGGGTTGCTGTGCCCTCCTCCAGGGGATCTTCCTGACCCAGGAATCGAACCCATATCTCCAGCATTTCTTGCACTGTAGACAGGTTCCCTACCCACTGAGCCACCTGGGAAGCTCACGTTAAGGCCATAATTGTGTATTTATAAAGATTTAAAAGCTAGTATTTGGCATCCAGTCTTCAGATTTTCCTTATTACCAGCCAATCTGAGGCCCAGAAAACCACTATTTGTTGTATGATCACAAGGGGTGGGGTTGGGGGGTGGAGTGGAAATCAGTAGTTTTATCCACAGTATCAACTATTAAATGGCCAAAGTTTAGATCTTTTAAATACTCTCATTTCTTTCACTGCACTTCCATCTCCGAGTCTTATCTTTAGAATGTGTATCATCAATTTCAGAGCAACTTATCCAATTACCACAGAAGACTTTAAGTTCAAACTATTTTGAGTGTTTACTTCATGCTGAGCAACTATACACAAGACAAGCATATATGCAATATTCAGCCAGTGCCTTCAACTAGTAGTTGAATTTCACACACTCCTAGGAATGGAACACTTGCTGAACAAATGGAAAAGTTTCTGCCGTGTTTATTAAAATTCACAAAATGTCCATGTTTCCAGCATATGTACAGCAGCAATTATGTATCTTTCCTTTCCAGGGCCCAAATAGCAACATCTCCTCAGGTTGTGCCAAGGGCAGACAGAAGCCTCTCTTGGTTCCTGTTGCCATGATCAGAGAATTTTTAAAAGTACAAATATTCCACTTACATAACAGTACTGTAAAGGTTAAAACACATTTTTTCCCCACCTCCATGCTTTCTCTCTTTGTCTTTGGTGGTAGTGGATGGGGAGTCGCCTAACTGTGCCTTCCTTGTCTCCTTCCCACCATGCGGGGTTCTGCACTGTTGCCACTCCACGCTGAGCTAAGGTCCAGCTCTCATCTGTTGCCCTGACTACCCTCAACCCACGAGGACCCGCCAGAAGACTAAAAGGACAGGCTAGTAAAAGGAAAGAAACAAACCCTACAGAAGGAAAGACAACCTTCCAGCCCGATAACGAAAATCCCCAAACCTGTGTTCATCTCCCAAAACTATGTGGACTCTCTCCCATGGTACTCTTAAAACTACTCGGCCCGCAACTCCAGGAATCCAGCTAACCCCATCAATGGCACAATAGGCTACACAAACTAATCACAGGGCAGGTGGTTACAAATCCTTCCCCGCCCACCCCCCCCCTCCCCAAGCATCACCCCTGAGTGGCTCTGCTATGCTCCACATCCCTTTTGCAAAAAATCTGTTACCTGAGACTTCTTTCCACCTTCAGATTTCTAAAGATCCGTGTGCTTCCTCCATCCCACCCCGTTTTTTATCCCAAGTTTGTTAATGGGGCAGAGAGGATGCCTGTATTAAGGGCTGTATAAACACCTGTGTAGAAAGGATTTATAAACCTTTCCTTCTTCCACTTAAATCTGTCTTTTAAGCCTTACTTGTTGCCTCAAAAAATGGGGTTGATCATCCCCGCTGTTGGCCCAACGTTGTCAAGAAGCCCTAGAATTTCATATATATTAAAGGGTTTTGCACACTGTCAAATGCAAACATGACACTGGTTGCGTGTAACCCCTACCGGGCTCCTTTCTGTTCTCGGGGACCAACGCAGCCCCATTTCCAAGGCGTTTGTTTTGTTTGGTTTTGTTTTTGCATCTAAGTACGGATTCTTCGGCCTGGCCCCTTCCCCAAGCCGCGACCCGCCACCTGCGGGACAAAAGCGAGGGCAGCCAGAGTCCCGGTGGCAAATGGCCCCCGCGGGCAGAACTCGGCTAACGGTCTGGACGCCACGGCCCGCGCTCGCCTCTCCCCTCTGGGAGCGAGATGGGAGGCGTGGGAGAGCTCAGAGAAAGAGGGTACAGGAGCCTCGCAGCGAGAAACGGCGGCGGCGGGTGCGAAGCGGACCAGAGAAGTGGAAGAAGCCAGACAGATGGAGGCAAAAAGACAAAACCCGAACAGTTCACACTGGAAGTCGCCAGGAGCTAACCAAAGGAAAGAGATAAAATAGGAAGGCTAGGCTTCCTAAAGAAGCCCCTGCGCCTCGCGGAAGGCGCAGGACTCTGGAGCTTAGAGCCGAGAGCGCGAGCCCCCGAGGATTGAGAGGTCGCAGGCGGAGCCCTCCCCAGTTACCTGTGTTACTTCCGCCTTGGCTGCCCCCGTCCGGGGGGAAGATGCTGGAGCATTTCTCCCACTCCACCTGGCCCGCGAAGCACAGCTCCGTGACGATGTGCAGTGCCTTTTGGCACAGGCTGCTCACTCCGTCCTCCTTATGGAAACTCATCGTTTGGCCTCGTTTCTCCCAGATAGCCGTTCGTTCCCCTTCCAGTTACCTCTGTGCTGACCCCTCTAGCGCCCTAAGCCATATCCCGCCTTCGGAGACTCTGGCCCAGGAGCGCGCAGCTAAGAGGCGGCAACTCTTAGGAGCCCCAAGTTGGCCCCATGGCGGGAGCAGAGGGCTCCAGAAAAGGTGGAGAGGCTGGGGCGGGAATTAGAGCTAGGCGGATGCGGCAGCGAGGTTTTTGCTAACTCTCACGCCGCGCGAACGAGCCCAAGCAAGCCAGAGAGACCTGCATGGAGAGCGGAGGGGAGCTGCGAGAGACGTAAAAAACCTAAAGCCCTTCACTTGCAGAAGCGTTTGTGTTTCTGGAGGGTGCCTGACGACGGCGCGTCCAATCGCAGCCTGGCGCGGGTCTGGTGACCCCTTCTCTAGTCACCGGGGAAAGCGGGAGACAACGGAGGAGGCGCCGCCGGGCGCCCTTGCTGTGTTTTCCTGCTGAGGCCGGAGACGCTCTTCTGGCGCGCAGGCTGGTGAGAAATCTTGGTTTTCTGGGTACCTTTCCCAGCCTCCGTACCCCCCTACCAAAGCCCCTCTTGATTACGGATGTGCTCTGATTCTCTTATACTTTTTTTTTAAAAGATCGTGCCAACTGAAAACAAGCTGAAAAAGTTAATCAAATACCTAGTAGGTGAACGATCAAACCAGACGTCTACAGAAAGAAAAAAAGACATCCCAGAAAAGCATTTTAGAAATGATTTTTTTCTTTTTGATTTCTAACTATGATTGTTTAGAAACAGAATATTCAACCCAAGAGCTCTTTTTACTACTACTAGTAAAATTCTCCATGAGGTGCATCTTTACCGTTTGCCCAGTTCAGTTTTTCTTTATGCATAAATAAAGTGAATAGGCAAAGTTGTTCATTGCTATTTAAATTTCTTTTTTACTAAATTTAAGAGACCACAAAACAAAGTATGTTGTTTGTATTAATATTCAGTTTGAATTTTGTCCATTAATATGCAATTGGCAATTGAAATTGCATAACCTGACCTCCTTTATCATTCTTTCAAGTGACTTAAGTACTGAAGAAGACAAGGCACAGGTGTTAAAGGGGGAAAGGGTTAAGTTCAAATCTGTCACACAGATTGCTTAACCTGAGGAAATTGCTTTCAGGGCTTCAACTAAGTCAAAGGACTGACTGAAGGGTTTAGACTCTTATAATTCTCTAACGCAAATGATGTAGCTAAAGCTACAAAATCATGTTAATAAACATGTGCCACAAGGTTGTAGGAAATAAATTTACATTGCTTTTAAATTGTTTTCAGGCAGAGTTTGATCCCATACATATTATAATCTGAAAATTGATTTAATTTTTGTTAGGTAAGGATTCTTTATTTTAGAAGTGAAATATCCTGAATTTGTTCATGTTGAGGAGGAAGAAATTTCCCTCTACCCATCTTGATTCTTCAGAGTGGTCTAAGAATTAAACTGATGTGAGAAAGATCAACAGGAGGAAAAAAAATTAGTAATGTACAATGGGAGAGACTCAGGAAAAATGAGTGACTCACCAAAATGGCTGAAGCCCTCACCTTAAATGCCCTCTTCAGCTAAAGACAAAAGAGGACATTGAGGGTATCAGTTTGGTACCTCAGAGGGATGGAAGACAACTCACAAGGAGATGAAAAAGCAGATGCTTGGTAAACAAATGTTTACTCTGCCATACAGAGACAATATGAGACAATGAGAATTTTAACAGATTTTGCTAGGTTTCTCCCAGTCTACACATCTAGTTCATACAATAGTTTTCTTTGATGATAGCTCCCTTCCCAGAACAGCTCTAGCTACATTTTTTAGGCAGCTAGAAGGACTGTCAAAATTTCTTCCTGAGTCTTTTTGGTGTTGTTTTCAGCTCAAAATAATCTGCGTGCCCAAGAGACATTTTGGGGTGACAAGTTTTGCTCCCAAAGAATAGGTAGTTTTATTTTAAACCATTCCATTGTTTGTGATAAATTATTTCTTCTGTAAGGACACTATGGTAAATCTTAGGGTAAACATTTAGCATAGCATCACAGTAGGGAGCATATATTAGTTGAATCATTTTAACCTGATTCATAGGACAACTGGTATAACTAAGGACAATTTTTTCTTTCATGAATTAAGACAAAGTATAATCTTCTGGCTTAATTTACTTTTTGTTTTTATGCACATTGATCTGGGTTGTTTTTAGATCAGATTGACTAAAGAACTAATTTCACCATCAATTTAAGAAACCTTAAATATCTACTATGTTTGAAGCTGTCATTAAATAAGTGCTCTGGTGCCCATGTTATAGAAAGCCAAACTCTGACAGTGGGTGTTTGCAGCAGAGTAAGGATTTATTTGGGCATTAAGCAAGAAGAACAAGCAGATTATGCTCAAATGACTTTCAAGCAAGAGTTTGTAAAGACAGTGTTAGGAAAGAACTCTGGACATTCTTCTGATTGGTTGATAGGGAAGAGCAAATTTTGACTCCATCTTGGATCTGTTTCTTTGACTTTAATCTTTGCTTTTTGTTGCTTTTATTATTATAGTCATAAATAATGACCTGCTTTGGGAAACACTGCCCCTCTGTCTGAATGTTAAACCAAAGTGCCTTTGTTCAGGACCCTGCTCACCTGTGGATGGCTTTAGGAAGGAAGAAGTTAACTTAGCCCCTCCCTGAGATTGGCCATTCCAGGAAATATTTCCAGGATTAATGACTTTTTACTTTACTTCCTCACTGCTTTCCCCTCTCCTTTCTGTAAAAGATAGTGGTTTCCCAATTCCAATAAAATGGTTATTTTGAGATATTAGTCTGCCATCTTCTTGGTCAGACAATTTTCCAAATAGTTATATTCCTTACCTCAACACCTAGTCTTTTGGATTTATTGACCTGTCATGTGATGAGCAGAGTGAGTTTGGACTTTGTAACAGGTTGATGGTAAGATAAAAGAGTGATGTTTCGGAAACCTCAAACTTTCGGCTCCAGTCTGGGGCCTACATGTGTGTAGACAGCATATAGTCACCATCCTCCACCTCAGTGGGGTCTTAATTTCTACAAAAGCTCAAAGATATGCATTAAATTGTATCTCTATCCCTTCAGGAAGAATTAGGAGTTTAATGACTCAGTTGTCCTAATCACTAACTGCTTGAGCCTACTCTGTGAAGCTCAGTAAAGATTTTGAAGACTAAAGCCTTTTTTTCTACAAACAAGAAATGCGGGCATAGAGGAGATTCTGTACTCAGGAAGGCCCCTCAGGGTCCTGCTTAGTTTCATAAGTATATATTTTAATAAGTCCCTTTCCAATTGTCCTTGCCCTCCAATCCTCCACACTTAGAGAGATCCATATGAAATGACCTGCAAAACAATGCTGTTTTCATATTTACTACATGAGCTGTTGTATGGGATGTCTAAACCAATGATTTAATACTATTTAGAGGCTCTACTTGCTTTTGTGGAGTAAGGCTGTATGGCTCTCTATTGACCCTCTTAAGGATTTTTTCCAGTTTTTTTCCTCCTTTGACTAACTTATTTTTAATTGGAGGAAAATTGCTTCATACTGTTGTGTTGGTTTCTGCTGTACAACAATGCAAATCAGCCAAAATCATGCATGGATCACTTGCTTCTTCAGGGCTTCCCCGGTGGCTCAGACAGTAAAGAGTCTGCCTGCAATGCCGAAGACCTGGGTTTGATCCCTGAGTCAGGAGGATCTCCTGGAGAAGGACTTGCCAACCCGCTCCAGTATTCTTGCCCAGAGAGGTCCATGGACAGAGGAGCCTGGTGGGCTCTAGTCCATGGGGTCACAAAAAGTCAGACATGGCTGAGAGACTAACATTTTTTGCTTTTTAACCTCCCTCTTTAGCCTCTCTCTTCACCACCTATATCCTACCCTTCTAGGTCATCAAAGAACACCAGGCTGGGCTCCATGTGTTATATAGCAATTTTTCACAAGCTCTTTATTTTACACATGATAGTGTATATGTAATTGATCCTACATTTTTGGTTTATACCACTCTTTCCTTCTATCACCATGTCCACAGTCTGTTCTCTATGATTGCATCTCCCTTCCTTCCTTGCAAATAGGCTCATCAGTATCATTTTTTGAGATTCCATATATATGCACTAATATACTGCCTATGTTTCCCTCTAAGAGCTTTACAGTTTGTGGCCTTACATTTAAGTCTTTAATCCATTTTGAGTTAATTTTTGTGTATGATGTTAGAAAGTGTTCTAATTTAATTCCTTTATGGGTATCTGTCCAATTTTCCCAGCACCACTTATTGAAAAGACTGTCTTTTCTCCATTGTATATTCTTGCCTCACTTGTCAAAGATAAGGTGCCCATAGGTGCATGGGTTTGTCTCTGGGCTTTCCATCTTGTTCTATTGGTCTATATTTTTGTTTCTGTGCCAGTATCATACTGTCTTGATGACTGTAGTTTTGTAGTATAATCTGAAGTCAGGAAGGATAATTCCTCCAGCTCCATTCTTCTTACTCAAGACTGCTTTGGCTATTAGGGGTCTTTTGTGTTTCCATATGAATTGTGAAAATTTTTGTTCTATTGCTAATTTGATAGGGATCACATTGAATCTGTTGATTGTGTTTGGTAGTATATACATTTATATAGTATATGTATATATAGGTATATAGTGTATGTATATGTGTATGTATATATATATGTATATAGTACATACATATATACATTTTCACAATATTGTTTTTTCCTACCCAGGAACATGGAATATCTCTCCAGCTGTTTATGTCTTTGATTTCTTTCATTAGTGTCATATTTTTTTGTGTACAGTTCTTTTATCTCCTTAGGTAGGTTTATTCCTAGATATTTAATTCTTTTTGTTGCAAGGTGAATGGGATTGATTCCTTAACTTCTCTTTCTGATTTTTCATTGTTATTATATAGAAATGCAAGGGATTTCTGCATATTGATTTTATATCCTGAAACTTTGCTAAATTCACTGATTAGCTCTAGTAATTTTCTGATACTATCTGTAGGNTGATATGGGGATTGCTACTCCTGCTTTCTTTCAATTTCCATTTGCATGAAATAATATTTTCTAGCCCCTCACTTTCAATCAGTATGTGTTCCTAGGTCTAAAGTATATCCCTTGTAGACAGCTGTTGTTTTTGTGTCCCTTTAGACAAACTGTGTCTTTTGCTTGGACCATTTATATTTAAGGTAATCGTTGATATGTATGATCCTGTTTCCATTTACTTTATTGTTTTGGGTTTTGTTTTTTTGTTTGTTTGTTTGTTTTTAGGTCT